GTCTACTTCAAAGGTAATGATGAAAATCAATAAAACCTGAAGAACTGCTCCACTGCCTGCATAAAATAATAAGGTACAAAATGTAAATACATAAATATAGTTGATAATTATTCGGTTTCACTTGTTTTGCCTCGAGAAAAGATTGGTCGTCTGGAAGGAAAAAGACATAGTGTAGACATCTAGTGTACGAAAAAGTATAAACACAAAACAAGAAAAATACTCTTTCTTAATGCATATATGTAAATGTGTGAACTTGCCAGCAGTTGGATTCCTTATTAAACCTAACCCAATGTATGACCTTGAGTCTATAGTGACCGCCTATTGTAACCTGGTACGTAACCAAAGATGTTAAGAGCATTCCATAAAACGGAAAATATACGGTGAGAAAGGGAAAACAATCATGAAGAGTACTAGGACCAAATACATTTGTGTCAAATACCCTTTTCGGGTTTGATGTAGGCATGCATGATATATTGAAGCTGTATTTCGTCAATTCATCTAAGCAACGAATTGGTCTGCACCTTAGAAGTGTGTAAGTCTTATTATTCATAAGTGTAATGATTAATTAATCAGTGTAAAGAAATATTGAAGTCATTTTCCCCCAACGGTCTGATGTGGTTTATTGGCTAAGCTCGTGGTCTAGCATTCAGGAGGGCAGAAGTACGACTCCATATGGTGCCGGTGTTTTTGTTCATAAAACCGTCCTTACATACGATGTTTGCTGACCGTTAGTCGCTCAGATATGAAGAAAACTGACAAGAGAACAGATTGATATGTCAAAGTGCAAGTTCTTTGTTCATACTAATAATAATACTATAGAAATGCTATAAGTGTGTTATATTTCCGTATTACGTTATAATTACGCAACAAATATATTAGTTATTGGCATTATATGTTTCCTTTTTTTATATATAACGCTAGTGTTAAGTTCCAGAATTTTGTATGGAGCACTAATAATAATTGGTTGAACATGAGCATCGCGGTGATGGTCATATATTTAGCCCAATGTTATGATTACTTAACAGTTCCTTTATAAGTTGCGTTCAAAATTAGGTATGTAGAATCAACGCCGCTAATACAGTAACCTAACAGGTAACGGGTATTGCTTCGGAAATACCAGGAAAAAAAATTGTTAGCGCCCATAAACTGGGTTATATGATTATATTTAAAAGCATGCTACAGGAAAACTGGTCAACTTATTGCATAAATTACGTCAACATGAAAAATAATGAGAACCTTAATAAGTACTTGACCATGGTTTGATCTAAAAGTTTTGTTTTAAAAAAAATTATTAATAGTATCAAGCTACTAAACATCTCCAACCGAAAACGTTTTAGGATTAGTTCATATGGTCTATATCGAGTCTAAGTGAATATGTGTATAAGAAGTACTACAAACACAGTCAATTAACCGAAAAAAAAACTCGCCTGGGTTGCTTTTTGAATTCGCCGTTACTGCCAGGGCTAGTTGTGTGGCTTCATAATACATGCTCACAGGGAATTCGTTCAACGTTTGCCTCCAGCTTTTTAATTGTTTACTATTATTGGTAAAATCTAAGAAATTGTTTAGTTCAACAGGCGCAGCTTGTTCACATCACTCACCTTGTTTGGAGATTTGTCGTTCTCTGGTGTGACCTACCCCTTTTTATGAATTCGACTACTGTCACTCAGCAATTGTTTAGGAATACCTAGCTTATGTATCCAATATTTTTTTTAATAAAAATTTTAACACACTCATATATCAAAAGTAAAAGATCTGGGGAGTTGTTGATAGTGTGACATCGAAAAGTATTTTTTTGTTAAATAAAATAGGTGGGACGTTATGAGAAAAAAAAATTATTTTTAAATAAACGCAGGATCCTACGAGGTACGTGATTAGATTTTATTCTGCAGCCAAAACTGTCAGTATTCTTGACTGACTAATTGGATGTGCCCATCTAACCGTTTTAGTCACTTGTACAGATTTACCGTTTTTACATGTCGATTCCGCAATTGTTTTGTCAGGTAAGCGGTCTAACAACACGTACGGTGGTTCATGATCGAGATAAGCTGGTTACAACCTGTCCATACTTACGGAGTCTGTGTTTCCATGCCTTTCTATTATGAAATATTTATCTTTTCTTGAGACGACTTTGAAAGGACCTTCAAACGGAGGGCTAAGCGGTGCTTTTATTTTGTCACACCTTATCCAGACGTGCGTGCAATTGCTTAGATCTTTAGGTATATATATAGCTCGCGATTGTTCACGAGTATTAATTGGCTTGAGTTTGGACATGTGGTCCCGTAGTTGATCTACGTAATTTTCTAAATTAAGTTTTTGACTGTTAGTATTAGGGTTAATAAATTCACCTGGTAGTCTCAGAGTTGTTCCGAAAACCATTTCCGCTGCTGAACACTGTGCGTCAGTTTTGACAGATGTTCGTATTCCCAACATAACTAACGGTAGGAATTCTGTCCACTGATTGGGGTTTGAGTGAGATATAAGAGCGGTCTTTAGCTGACGGTGAAAACGTTCTACCATCCCATTAGCCTGAGGATGATATGCCGTACAGCGTATCCTATTGGAGCCTAGAAGTTTAGCCAAGTTATTGAATAATTCGGATTCAAATTGCGCTCCTCTATCCGTCGTTATTGTTATGGGTGTACCAAAAATGGTTACCCAGTTCTGCATGAAAACCTTGGCTACTGTTTCCGCTGTGATGTCCGCTATCGGGATGGCTATAGGGAATCTGGTAAATCGATCTATGCATGTAAAAAGATAATTAAAACCGTTCGAACGTGGTAAAGGTCCTACCAAGTCAGTATGCACATGGGCAAAACGTGCATCTGGTTGCGAGAAAACACCTATGGGTGAATTTGTGTGACGAATAACCTTTGATTGTTGGCATGCCGAGCACTCTCTGACCCATCTGTGTACATCCTTCTGTAAATTCGGCCATATATATCTGGCGTTAATTAGTTTAGTCGAAGCTTTTGCGCCAGGATGAGACAAAGCATGGAAGTTTTTATATATCAACTTTCGCATACTCTTAGGAACGAAAGGTCGAGGCGATGCCTTGGTCGTGTCACAGTAAATTAGAATACCGTCGATAGGCGACGGTAACTGTTTTAATTTAAGACTTGAATTATTTGTTTTAAGCAGATTTCGTAATTCTGGATCCTTTTCTTGTTCGTGCTTCAGTGTCTCGAAGTCTACTGTAGACTGCTGTAGCACGTTCATTTCTAATCTAGATAAAGCGTCTGCAGCCTGATTGTCCCGACCTTTGACATGTCGGATATCACTTGTGAACTGTGATATATAGTCAAGGTGTCGAACTTCTCGCGGTGAGTATTTATCGGCTCTCGCTTTTAATGCATTCGTTAGTGGTTTGTGATCTGTAAAGACTATAAATTTCCTGCCTTCTAACATGTGTCGGAAGTGCTTAATGGTCAAGTAGATTGCCAGAAGCTCCCGCCCGAAAGTAGAATACCTTGTCTCTGCTGGAGCGAGTCTTTTCGAGAAGAAAGCAATTGGTTTCCAGGCGTTTTTAACCAGTTGATTAAGAGTACCACCTACTGCTTTATCTGAAGCATCCACCATTAAAGCAAGTGGAGAAAGAGAATTCGGATACATCAACGTAGATGCCTGAGCCAGTTTATCTTTTAGCTGTTTAATCGCTTCGACGGCGTCAGAAGACACTTTGTATTCTTTTGGTTTTCCTTTAAGTGAATCTGTCAAGGGTTGCATTAGTTGTGCACAACCGGGTATGAATCTGCGATAAAAGTTAATTAGACCTAAAAAACTTCTCAGTTGTGTTAGAGAACTAGGTATAGGGTAATGTTTGATGGTGTCCAATTCTGCTTTGATAGGTGTAATCCCTTCTGGGCTTATTGTGTGCCCAAGAAATTCTAGAGTTTGAACACCGAAAACACACTTACTTTGATGTATGTTCATTCCATTTTAATCCAGTCTTTTTAACACTGCTCGTACATGCTGTTCGTGTGATTGTAAATCGGGGCTGGCAATTAACAAATCGTCTATATACCCCTATGCTAATGGCATATCTCGAAGTAGGTTATCCATGAATCTTTGAAATGTTTGTGCCGCATTTCTCAGGCCGAATGGCATGCGTACAAACTCGAATAAACCAAAAGGTGTAGTAATAGCTGTCTTGGGGATATCTTCATCAGCCACCGGAATATTGTGATATGCCCTGACCAAGTCAATTTTAGTAAATATGTTCATACCATGTAAACCGTTTGTGAAATCTTGGATATGCGGTATCGGGTACCTATCTGGTACGGTTTGACGGTTGAGCGCTCTGTAATCCCCGCACGGTCGCCAATCCCCTTCGTTTTTCTTCGGGACCATATGCAAAGGGGATGCCCATTGGCTATCAGAGGGACGGATAATACCCAGTTGTAGCATATAGTCAAATTCAGCTCTAGCGATTTTGAGCTTATCTGGTGCTAGTCTCCTGGGTCTTGCAAACACAGGCGCACCTTCGGTTTTGATGTTATGACTTACTTTTAGTTTGTCTTTGGCAGGCTGTGGGTTTGGTCTAGTTAAGTTTGGAAATTCCGCTAGTATATCTTGAAATTTCGCTGTTGTTACTGGCGGAGTTTGAATCAAGTAAAGGGATGTGATGTGACTTTCTTTTCCTTTTGTGCTCCATTGGGAGTAACAGGCGTAAGTAAGTAAGTAACCTTGGGGTTGAAAACTGTTAAGAAATGAACAGCGGGCTCGGCCAACACCACAGTAAATTATTAAATTAGGCAAAACTCAAAGAAAAAAGTAACCTGCTCAACATGGATCTTAAGACATATTCTTTTGATCGAAAATGATACTTTTATAACGTAAGAACACAGCAAAAGAAACATGCAAATCATTTTCAGTTCGAAAAGCGTGCGTAATGTTGAAGCCTTCGTTTAACATCACTAGATTTTATTCATTTCTCTCGGAATGTCGAATAAAATACCGTTTTCCTCCTAACTGATTTCATGTTCTTTTCAAATTGAAACCGCACAAGGTCGTGGGAAAGAGAGCGCGATCCAGTTTGGAGGCCGAGCAATCCTTGTATCTCAGTCTTCTGGATCGTGTCAAACTGTCTTCCAGGGTAATAGCCGATTTCTCCTTCTGCTAGGGTATGAGTTCCCAGAAAGGTAACATTCAGCGCACACGCCCTCAGAAGTATAAGAATACTAGGGCTTTTCAAAACAACTTGCATGATACGTCTAAAGAAATCAAACGCCTCAACAATCTGACGTTCGACTTTTTGTGTCCTAGATGTACAGGTGTTGTGCAATGGAAAGTAAAATACAAAAAGTATCATCAATTAGCAAACCCTAGGGTTTGGTAAGCTGGCTAACATTTTTTTGTATATAAACGGTATATCGTTGCCTGAAAACGCTGTTTTTCAGAAGAAAAACTTTTAAGAAACTATCATATATATCATGTCTCGAATAACTTATTAAATTACCTCGTTTGTTATTGAGCATCAGGAAACTTTTTGTAATGCGTATTGGTGAATATGCTTACATGTAAACCGATTTTTGAAGTTTCAACTTCAAAAATCGGTCGCCGCTATGATGAACGCACTAATATTAGTTTTCATTTGTCTCAGCTACTTGTTCCCGTTTGTATCCTCGAATTCTAAGGTTCACCGTCAAGGTTCATTTATTACGTACAATTATTTCTTTTGAGTCTGAATACTTACTCTGCAGGTATTGATTTGCGTTTCGTGTTCTTATCTTATATCTGGGAAGAGTATTTTTCACTTTGTTGTAAAGGCTTTCCTACAGGACATTAATATTCAGTCAACTGTTAAAAACGTGTTCACCAGGTAAGATGTATCTGATAAAATTAGGGAGCTCGTGACTCGTTCAAATAAAATACCACTAGTCAAAGTACGATGAAGTTTACATCTTACATACTATCTTGTCTAGATGGCCCTCGGAATTTACCATGAACAAAAAATCATATCTTTCAAATGGAAAGACTAAGTAGGTACAGTTGGTTACTTCGGTTTTTCTAGTGGTTTGATATCTAGTCCTAGTGCGAAAGTTTTGTATACAGCAGTAAAGTCAGTTGTTTTCTCTAACTAGTTTTATTTTCAGTTTTGATGTACTCTATGCAGGTGGGTTCTCTCATATAAAATGGGATCCCTTGAGGCGTTATTTGGAATAGTTGGTGGTTCTTTAGGGGATTTATTAATGCACCGATAATCTACGTATGAAACCTGTCAAGATTTTTAGTGTTCCGTGCCTGTTGACCTCAGGTATACCAATTGTATAAGACTAAGCACATATGTATCGTATGTTTTCCATTTCTTGTTAGTACGACTAAAGGGAATAAATGGATTCAAAGATAATATTATTTACAATTGTGAGGAACCAAAGAAGAATACCCTAAAACTACCATTGTTTATGGGCATCGACAACACATATCAACTACCTCAATCGATGTAGACTCTTAATTTCTTGAACTGACTTACCCATTTATTGAATGCACTACCTGACTCGGTGTTATTAATAAACTAGCATATTTTGTCTAGAACATGTGGCAAGACATTTCTAAATGCATTCGAGTCCTTTGCCGCAGTTGTTTCACACCAGTTAAGTTGTATGTAGGGGGCTGTTTCTTTCACTATTTGATGCAATGGCGGAAACCCTATCTATTTTGCAAATAAACTAAGTAATTGTGCCAAGATTTTGTCAGCAAACAACTCACTGAAATTTATGTGATCAAAATATGAATGGAATGTTATTTCCGATTCGCTACTGTTTTTGAATTGGACATTGACGATTGCCGAAAAATACATACCAGCCATTTTTCGAGCTGTTACACAAGATGGATGGCTTATTGATCACAACTTGACTTCCGACTTTCAGACTGCAGAGAAAATTCTAATCCTCTTATTTCGATTCGGATAGTCGAATAGAATCACTGGGCTATAAGCAAAGGATACAACTTGAAGTCAAGACCACAAAACTACTTATTTAGTTACGCAACTACTCGCTGTATTTACCGTCTTCCTCAGTTTTAACTACCTTGTACATTCCAGGTTGGTAAAACAATATTTTGGCAATCGGTCAATTCATGGTGGTTGTTACTTTTGGGAGCGTTTCCACAAAACAATTCGATAGAAATAAGGGAACAAATTAGTTCTAACGAGAGTTAAACAATGTTACTTTATGTGATGGTATAGATTTTTGATGTGAATGATTGTCATATTTTATCAAATTAAGTTTTAACTACATGAAATCTAACTTCGTCAAACTTCTCTGTTTGAAACCTATTGTTTGTATTGTTAATAGTCTTATTGTTATTTTCAATAATGTGATTGCTTGATTGAATAACTGAAGGAAGTGGTCTTTATTCACTAAAAATTGGGAATTAGTTTCACTGTATCTTTATTTCTTTTCGATCCTGATAGTGTGAAGTGTAACGGGAAGGCTGTAAAGCAAGCCTACCATACAATCTGTACAGATTGTTCAAGTGCTTTGAAAATCTGCTCCAAGTGTGGAAAATCGGATGGATCGATTACCTTTGGGTAAGTAGTTCGCTTAATTAAGCATGGTATTTATGATCACTGGTTGTTGAAAGTGATATGAATGTCCCTTGTAAGGAACAGTGCCAAAATAATACTCTTATTACAGTTAACAAATACTCCTTACAGCGCTAAGCATAAGGTATCAAAAGTGACCATAATTAGAAATAACACTGATCGCTGAACACGCTCAGCATTTTTAAAGTATTCATTTACCATGACCATTTGCATGAGCCCTAACGTACTTGTATCTTGTTTTAGAAGACATGCAAAGAAAAAGTTTTCGACTATACTGAATAACTTATAATTGATACTTTTTTATTTATTTTAACACATAGATATTGGTACAAGAAGGCACCAAATACATATGCGCCACACAGATCTCATTTGATTTGTGTGAGGGCTGTGATACTGCCCGGATGCCCAAACCGAAGCAGGTGGTTTTCTTAGGGGGCCACACCCCGAGCCTTCGACCTGAATGTCTGACACACAAGGCAGTGGAGCATCGTGAGGAGATGCAGTCCCATGGTAGCCGATGACCAACGATTGGTTCATACGCCATTTGTTCCTTCAGGATACTGGAGCCCATGTGCAGCATTGGTTTGGGATCCGCTTTTCGTCCTCTCATTTTCGTAAACAACACCCCGGCCACGTGAAGGCAGTGAGTAGGACTTCCCTGGCAGAGGCTATATACGCGTGGCCATGTGAGAGCGTTTCGAGAGGGAGAGCGGACTCTTACCACTCTCGGCCGTACTAGGGTATTTGGGGGCTATAATACAAAATTAATAGCTAAATTCCAATTGTCTGCATACAACCATATTCGTTTTAGTTCGAAGGCTCAAAAATAACCTCAATAACACTCTTCAAGGTCACTAGTGACACAGCAGTCGCTTTTAAAATTCCGAGAAAGAACAGGAAAAGATTGCATAAGTACACAGGTGATTTATAGGAGTTGATAAATCTTGAAATTTAGTACTCACTAGTGCCTCTTGACAAAATAAATTAAGTAGGGAGTTTTTCTTAATATCAACAAAGTATAGGAAGACTCGGAGAAATAATAGATTAAGCTAACAATAATAAATGTAAGTCTTTGTAGGGGAGCCGTCCGGCCCCAGGAACTCTGTCTCTTTTGTATCCAGGTCTCGAACACATTTTGACGGTTAGGGGGACCGAGAGTCAGACTATTTTAAGGAGAGACTATTATTTCATGTTTGCTGGAAACGTATTAATTTCAAAGCAACCATAACCGGAAGAACTTCGTACATACAACAAAGTAATACACGTATTTTGCATGTGATTTTAGTGAGAGGTGGAAAGTCATGTTACGCAGAACTTTTTTACATGTTACTGATACCACTTTGATCATTTCATACCGTTTTGCTTGTTCTGTATGCGAACTTGAATTGATGTGTCTGGTTGCACGTTGCTTATAATGGACTGACTTACAGGATTTGATGTTTCATCGCAGCAAGCTTGTTTGACAAGAGGTCTTAGAACAGGAGCAGAAGTGTAGTCTAGAAAAGTGCATCGAACATACCTTCAAAACTAAGCAATAAATTGTTATGTAAGACAGATTCAGCGTTAAAACTATTTTTCGCATGTTCTTTTAGTTACTGTTGATATAAGTTTAAATTCGATGTTTGTGTCAGGAGACAATTTCTTCAATGTTGGCAATACTTTAGTTATTTCCTACATATGGTATAGCATTCCTTAAGAGAGATTTATTAAAAATTACTAAGCTGTTAGTATAACCGATCAGCAAGGAACGTCAATTACAATACAGCATAAATAAACTCCAATAGGTAACTGATCCCTTTCCCCTTTTTAGTGCCACAGAAAATCAAGAAAATATTAACCAACAATTTACTGACGCTCTGAAAAATGTTCGTGAGAGAGAACGCCGTAAGTTATTTTTAAGATGTACCAGGACGTTTTTGTTCGAGCGTTGGGTTTTATATGTGCTGTTCGTTACTAAATCCTTGCAAAAACGGTAATCGTAACAAAGCTTCCCAGTTAGTTCATACAAATAGGAAAACTGGAGCTAGAAAATACCTATCACTATCGTATTACATTTCAGTTACTTTTTATTTTCCTACAATCTGCTTTTGGACTGTGTTTTGTTTAGAATAAAGTACAAGTAACAGATATTGATTCTCTTGAACGGGAAATAGTGGTTTGGGTGATTTTTGCGAACAATATACAATACTATATTCTCAAGAGTATCTAGACATGTGAATAGTCACTAGAACCATTTCCAAACAGCCTGAATGGAACATCAAAATAGGCCCCCAACTCTAATTGAAGTCCAAAAAGCTATAGCTAGTCTGAAACAAGAAATAGCAGCTGGTCCAGAAGTCTTTAGTGATGGTGGTACAGTTTAAGCGATTAGGTTGACTAATATTTCAGCTAGAATCTCAGAACTGGTCGCAATCACTGATCGTCCTAATGTATAAGAAAGGATCAAAATCATCCTGTGATAGCCATAGAGGGATTAGCTTGACTAATATAGCATCTAAAGAACGAGCATCAATAATTATCTGACGTTTAACAAACTCATGAAGTATAAATACGCGAAAACTAGGTTGACTTCAGACATGGTCGTGGCTGCATCGACTACATATTCGCCATTCGTCTGACAGTGATGGTTTTCTTGACTTAAAAGCAGCATTCTAATCTGTTGGCCGGGAGATTCTATGGTAATGTCTGACATTGGAAGACATACCTCAGAAGTACGTAAACCTTGTGAAGGCTCTTTACTCCAACACTACCAGTCGAGTCAGCGCTTATGGCGGAGTGTGTCATCTGATTTCGCAACATCGAGTGGTGTCTGGTAAGGCTTCTCTCATTTCTGTTTTCGGTCACTTTCATCATAGACCTACTGCTGGAAATAACGTCGTCGACTGAATTTTCGGGAATTGATCTCCTACCAGGGGGTCCACTTATTGACTTAGAATACGCAGACGTAGTTCTGTTTGGTGAGGACGCTGATAAAATGAAGAACCTTTTGGTAGCATTGGACGACAATGTCAGGATGTTTGGGATGCGTTTCTCCTTTTCTAAATGCAAATTGTTGCTTCAGAACAAGCCTGCATCAACACCTGAACTAAGGATAGGGAGTGAAGTAGTCGAACGCGTCGACAACTTCACTTATCTTGGAAGTTTGATCAACCCTAATGGGTTGGTGTCTGATGAAATTTCTACACGGGTTCAAAAAGCTCGTTTGGCTTTTGCCAACTTACGTCACCTATGGTGAAGGCGAGATATCCGTCTATCAATTAAGGGACGAGTATACTGCGCAGCAATTCGTTCTGTTCTACTTTACGGTCGCGAAACAAGATTGTTAAGGGTAGGGGATACTCGTAAATTACTAGTTGATTACAAATATCTTAGAAATATTGCTTGCATCTGCTGGGATCACTGGGTAAGTAATGGTGAGGTTAGACTCAGGGTATTAGGGAAGGATGGTAAATCAGTTAGTGAGGTTGTAAATCATCATCGACTGAGATGGTTGGGCCACGCGTTACGTATGCCTGAACATCGATTACAACGACGCGCAATGATGATTAGTGTTGGAGACGGATGGAAGTTAGGAGAGGCCAAACCAAAGCGTGGCATCAGTCCATAAAGTCACTAACTTCTGGTCTGAGCCATGTTGTTAGATGCAGACTACTTGGTTTGGGTCCATGCAATTATCGTAATCAGTGGTTGGAGACCGAGTGATATGGCTCAAAGTCGATCACAATGGCGGAGGTATATACACACTTCGTTTTCCCTTAAAACGTGAAATTAATGAGGTATGGGATCTTGGACCGATGCATATACGTGCGTGGTCCTACGTTGTAAATGACTGGCACTAGCAAATACATTTACAACCATGTGGAAATCGCCGGATTAAAACTTCATCATGGAGCTGGCGATAATTACTGAGTTTCGTGACTGATGTCATTTGTTACCTGCAACATAATGGGTTTTCTTGAGTAATCGACGTAACGTAAATTATTGTACACTTTATTATATGTAGATTATAACAATCATTGCAGTCTATATTTTCTATCTCTAGTATTTTAATCAGCCTTAATATATTTTAGAAGCTGATCCAACCAATAAATCAGATCCACCACTTTGAAAACTTTAGGACAAATAACCTTACTTTTAGACAGGTGTCTCTCCCAACTAAACATGTCACAGATTTAATCTAATGATTGTTCAGATGCTTGTCCGTCTGATGACTGCTCTTTACTAGTTAGTATTTTGAACAGAATTAGGAATAATTTATATTTTTGAAACATGTGAATTATCTCTAGGTGCTCTTCTCCGTTTGACCCAGTCCAATAAAAGACCAGTTGAGTCAGGTGAAGAATTTCATCTAGACAGTCTGAATAAATTAATTGTGGAGGAACTATCGGATATCAAATTTGATGACGACAAATATGAATCAGATGATTATAGATCCAGTTAGCGAGATCGCATTAAAATGTACTTGTTGCAAATTTCATAAATCAGATTACTTTCAAACTATCTTTCTTTTTTTAATGGTGTTATGAGAAAACTGAGGTACTATACACATATCTCACTTTGTGCAACCAACACATTTTATAAGTCTGCTATAAAATTGGAGAGATTCAACTCAACAGTTTGGTGGCATCGTAAAAGGGTCTATCTAATGCGTGAAATACCTGAAGGCTATAAGTTGCGTTTAAGGTCTTTAATACTGGCATATATATCGTGCCTTGATTTATAAATAATTGTCACTTGGCATTAGAACTGCCTTTTACTCAGCGCAGAAAACTGAGTATTGGGACTAAGAAATATCATCAGAAGGGGTTTTAAGGAGATTTTAGTAATTTCAATAGTTGAGATCATGAGTCAATTGAAGCCAGCTCAGTGGTCTGATGGTCAAGCGCTTGCGCGCGAGACTGATAGATCCTGGGTTCGAGTCTCGCGGGGGGAGGGATCGTTGATGTGCATTGCTGAGGAGTCCCATACTAGAACGAAACGGCCGTTCAGTGCTTTCAGGTTTTCCAAGGTGGTCTAGCTTCAAATGACTCATGATCTCAACTATTGAAATTACTAAGGAATATCCCAAAAAATCTATGGAAATTGCGAATGCATTATACCAAAACATTTGACGTCACCCTTTTCTTCCATAGCACCAAGTTGCGTGGTCAGTACAAGTGTAGACATGGCTTTTGCGGGATCAATAGTATCCACTTGGTTGAAAGTCAGTGCCCACAATTATAACGCCTCCAATATTTTAATTATTAGCTCGATGCAAACCTATTTGTATTGACTTGTCATATGAAAGATATTCATTCTCCAAGCTGTAGTTCTGTTGTGCAGTTTTCATTATTTCTGGACAATATCAAAACAAGCTTTATGAGAGGTGACTTATTACAGCGTTTTCACGAGGGACTAACGGTTCGTGCCGTCGACATACTTGACAACACAGTCTGCATTTGTTTTTGGTCTTTCCGTATGGTTTGATTATTGATTGTACAGCTCTTCATAATTTAATTGGATTGGGTTCATGTTAGGGTATCTACTGATTGTTATAGTAGGTTTCTAGAAATCTTCCGATTCCGAAAATAAAGAGCATTAAGAGGCATCACCACGTGCCACCAGTCTTTTCCACCATCTCAGGAGTTTAACTAGACAACGCCATTCTCACACAACTCAAACATTTATACACAGGTTACGTCTGCACTAACATTCATTTCAACAAAAGAGTTGCGTACATACCCATGCCTAACGTGCATATTTACGATTTTCTCTGCTGAAGAGAAACTTCGAGTTGTAAATCCTTTACGTTCTATGAAAGTGACGATATATTTGTATCTCTTAACAGATACCTTTGTGCAATTTACATAATCGTATGCTGAGGATTACATCCAGTCACTGCTCTTCTTGAAGGATACCGTAGTTTGGAATCGATATGAGACTAGATTTGCCAGGAACATCATTCTCTAGAGACCTAAAACCTCAAAGCGAGAGCCGAAAATTACCAAGCGGCGCGAATTTTATTTTAGGTTCTTGCTGAGGTGAAAATGAACTCATTTGGTTCAACATAAGACTATATACATCAGTTCGATCCCACCGGCAGTCGCGTAACAAAACTTAATGAAGAATGATTACTTCATAGCATTACGTGACAGTGCACTGGGTTTAAATGATTAAGGTTGTTCCAACTTTTGGATCATCACAGTGCTAAGTACGAAATATTGTAATAAGTGATCAAGCAAGGCGGATATAAAGGTATACAGTACGAACTTTCACTGTAAAGTCATGTTAAAATAACTGCAAAACATTCAGTTAACAAATGATGAGTAGAGATAAAGTATTTTCCCAAAGCGCGAATATACTTTGACGACGTATGTTCTTGAGGAAACAACAAAGTGATAATTTGTTTAGTACGAGTCGTAAAATAGTTTGATTATTCTTATTGTTTAGGAATGAAATATTATGTCGTACAATAAATATTACTGCAAGGAGTCGAAAATATCAATCGACCCCACAACCATACATCATTAAACTTGAGTTAAAAAAAATCACAGATTATCTGGAGGTCTGTACATGAAAAACAACTGTATACATAGAAGACTAAAAAAGATTTCCCTCGGGCACTACACGATTTACCTCACTGGGAAAACATTAAAAGATTTAAAACATGTAGGCGCAGGAAATGACCAGGAAGTTCCATGAAGTGTTTGAAAAGAATAATCGGCAATAAACAGTATATTAATGTCAAGCATTTAAATTTCTGTAAAGGGGACCAGATAAGTCGATTTCGATTTGTACAAATTTATACTGAGGGGACGGTTTAGGAACAATGAAACTAATTATTTGACAAAATAAACTGAGACAACTCAAAAGGTTGTGGAAATAGTAAATGTACAAGATACGCTTTAAGCGCACGAAAACTGCTATAGTTAAGAAGACATGAGTTTAAGGCTTAACTGTGTGGTTGCAAAAGTAGTAATGTTAAATCCCTATTTTGAACTCATTGTATTTAGCAAGACAGGAAAAGACGAGATCTTGGAAGAACAGTAAAACTGGCTGAAAATTGGTACTAGGATGTAAAACATGTCAGGACTGTTGCTGTGGTCGTCCTAAAGATACCACAGTACGTGCAGGAGTAGGCAATCTCAGGATAGGTATTGTTTGTTGACGACACAAAATGTAATCCGGCATAATATTACTTTGTTGAATTATCCTGCGACGTTGATCTCGCGTGCACATAATGATAGGTTGGTGGTTTGAATTTCCGAATGAATTGGATAAATGTAGACGATCTAAAGTGGGATACTCATTAGTACGCCATATCATTTCACGATCTTCTTGCGCAGGATCAACGAACAATTCGGAACCCATACCTGGATCCGATAATATGAAACTACGATCGAATTCTTGCTTTATAAAGCAATCTTCCTCTTCTACTTCCCCTTCATCATTATCGTCATCAATATCATCTTCATTAGGATTGACGAATGATTTGGAATGTTTTCGCCTGCCCGATGTATATTTTGGTACTACAATGTACGGGTCATTTCGCAATTCACATTTGGAACCTGTGGATACAGATAAGGGTGTTTCGTCAATCGTATATGGAGGTGGGGGCAATTCATGAGCAGTATACCGTGACGCAGAGGTTGGACGAGTATAACCTCGAGGAGCCTTTATATAAGTTGGTTTTGAGTTGGAAGAATTAGATGAGGTCACCATAAAAGGAGATGTACTTTTAACTTGTACATTATTTTCGCCATCATTATCCGGCGTAGGATAGAGTTTATTCGAATCATTAACATTATCGGCAACCGAAGTCTGCTGAGAAATGGGCAGTTCATCAAGTTCAGAGAAGTAGCCGGGTGTTTGTGAAGTTGAAGAGCTACGCGGACCTCTATTCAACACAAAAGACCATAAATAATGATAATACAATAAGATTTTTCTGCAACGTAATAAAAGAGGTATCAAGCTAACTGGATATTAAAGTCAAGAAAGTTCGCCACATTTTCTATGTGCGCGAAAATAATATTTCGATATAATCAACTTAATATATGAGAAAAATAAACTTACCGGTATCTGACCTTGGCATGTGTCATAATATGAGACTTTAAATTTGTTGATTGAGCAAAGCGTTTATGGCAGTTCTCAAAGGGACATATGTAAGGACGATCACCAGTATGTATACGTACATGTGTACGTAAATTGAAATCCAATGAAAAACGCTTGCCACAACCCTAAAAATGTTAATTTACAACGGAAATAAGGACATAAAGGTAATTTTATCACGAACACAAAATATTATGAGATTATCATAAAAAATTCTAGAAGGCAACTTGAGTAAAAAAATGAACAGTATACCTTTAGTCTTGTTTATTATAGTTTCAACTTGACCGATGTAGAGACAATGTTCGTTCCACTTAGTGTAAAAGTATGAGACATTCGGCCCCTAAATGCCCTGGTACGGCCGAGAGTGGTAAGAGTCCGCTCTCCTTCTCGAAATGCTCTCACATAGCCACGCGTATATAGCCTCTGCCAGGGAAGTCCTACTCACTGCCTTCACGTGGCCGGGGTGTTGTTTACGAAAATGAGAGGACGAAAAGCGAATGTCCGGCGCGTTAACCGGATAAATGAGACATTCGACTAAAGGTTTATGTTGTTGATGATCGCTTGTTGGTAGTTATAAGTGAGACAACAGTTAGTTGCAACTTAGAACTTGGACGTGTATTCGTCGGTTCACATTACCATACCCCATTAGCACAGAGAGATGAAGTTATCAGGCCAGATGGTAGAGGTGGTGACAATAGGGAAGATTAGGCATCGAAGATACCACTCCAAAAAAACATAGATCAATGAGACAAAAAAGTAATGAGGAATTTAGAATCTCATGATTTGGGTAAAAGCAAAGAATAGATGCACCTTCGCCACTGCAGGTAGACCGCAGTACAAATGACAACTGGCAAATATGAGTTACTACAGTCGAGAAGCAATAATATACCAATATTTGGTGAATAAATTACGCTTTGGTGAAAAGTAATATTGCAGCACATTATTTATTTAATTCATATAATTCAGTAACCGGGTTGCGATTAAAGTTCATAGGTATAACACGATTTTTGTAACATTGAGGTGTAAAGTACTCCCACAGGTTTGACATCAACTCTTCTTTCACTCAGTATGATGATCTGTTGGAACGTGTTTAGTACTACCTCGATTTTAGTCTATCGGGTCTACAACACTTTGGTGTGAGTTTTGCTCTGGGCAATGTGAAACTTTGCGTCTAAAAAGGTGGACGGATCTGACAACTCCGAGGTTGATCATGATTTCTGAAGGACTTCTCGCTCTTGTTGGCAACATTACTGAGGTTTTGTATCCCATTTAATAAGAACACTGAAATGTTTTTTTTGCCACAGCTTTCTGTTTTCTATTTATTTCCGATAGTTATTAAGTTGTGTGATGTTATTCTTGGTGGCTTATTGTTCTAAGTATAGCTTGTTTCAAATAAATGTTGCCTTTAGAGA